TTTTATATTATTTATATCTTGTGTTATATAATTATTCCGTTTCATGTGGATGTTTGGAATAAATCAGAACATAATTGTCTTGAACCTTTTATTTATTTTTTGTCAATGGTGTTCAATTTATAATAATACTTTTTTAATGATTGATTTTAAAAGAATTTCTTCTCATGTAGTCGGTTGGTCTTTATTAAAAACCTTTTTTTTTTTATTCCCTTGACTTTCATCTTTTTTTTTCAAGCCTTTTGAAGCTTTGATATTTTGTTCAATGAGGGTGTTCAATGTTTTTCATTTTATTGTTTCTGTGTTTGTATTAATAGTGATTCGTTTAGTCAATGACTTAAAAAGACTTCCCTCTCATGTAGTTAGTTGGTTATTATTACCGTATTTAGTAGGAATCAAATACAAATACTCTTAGGGGTCAATGAAGGGTTAAGAGTATCCTTTATGAAGATTAATTTATTTTTATAGAATCGCATCATTGAATAAAATCTTGCATTCTGATTTGTTAACAAAGCGAGGTATTTAGCATGGAATTGCGATTTGTAAACAAGGCTAAGTGAAAATGTTTCGCATCTACGTAAACAAAACTAGCCTCCCGGTTAGCTCAATGGATAGAGCGCTGGACTGTTGTGCGGGAGGTCGATGGTTCGAGCCCCGATCGGACCAACACTCAGGGTCTTAAAATAATTGAGAAGAATTTGCTACCTTTCTATAACATCAATAAATGGTTAGATATTCTAGTTTTCTCGGATAGGGACGATTAAATGGAGGTCCCGTCTCCTGCAGGGTTAGGGGTAGGAGACGTTAATTTCCCACACACGAGATTACTGTGTGATGGATGTCCTCCCCTGGGGTGGGATGGGAGGGAGGGTGGACTAGCACGAATGGTTCCTATGTTCCTTTCTAGTCTTTCCCCACTGCAAAACTTAATGCAGTGAAAACGGACAAAATTAAAATTAAAACAATTTTAGGTAATGCTTTTTCCTTTTTTTTACTCATTTTTATTCAGTTATGTGATTCAAAGAAAATCCATTACTTCACTCGTGAATTCCGCATTTAATTGCGCTCGAAAACCGATATCGCACTCATCGTTTCGCAGTGCAAGTGCAGTTTAATGTGGAATTCCCTCGTCAAGTAATGAATTTTCCTATAGAAATGTTCTTTTTATTCCACTGATTTTTATCTTTTTCCTTTTCATGTGGATGTTTGTGAAAAAATCAGGTGGTAAGCTTTTTGAGGCTGTGATATTTTGTCTATTGAGAGTGTTTATTGTATTTAATTTTATTTGTGTATTTGTATTAATAGTATTTCCTTTAGTCAATGACTTTTAAAAAATTACTTCTCATGTAGTCAGGTGGTCCTATATTTTTTATATATTATGTTTTAGCAAATTATTTTTTTTCATGTGCATGTTTTGGAAGAAATGAGATGCTAAGTGTCTTCAATCTTTTATTCATTGTTGATCAATATTGTTCAATGATAATGCTCTTGTAATAATTGATTTTAAAAGAATTCCTTCTCATGTAATCAGTTGATATTTTTTAATATAATAAAAATATATTTTTACTTTTTTATATCTTATGTGTTATTAACTATTCCTTTTGATGTGGATGTTTGTGGACAAATCAGGTGGTAAGTTTTTTTTTAACTTTGATATTTTGTTTATTTAGGATGTTTAATGTTTTTCATTTTATCGTTTGTGTGTTTGTATTAATAATCCTTCCTTTTGTCATCAATTTTAAAAGAATTCCTTCTTATGTAGTCAGTAAGTCTTTTTCATATAAAAGTATATGTTTATATTTTTGTTTATCATGTTTCATATAATTATTCCTTTTCATGTGGATGTTTGGGAACAAATCAGGTGGTAAGTTCTTTTAAGCTTTGATACGTTGTTTTAATTTTGAGTGTTCAATGTTTTTCATTTGATCATTTGTGTGTTTGTATTAATAGTAGTTCCTTTACTCAATGACTTTAAAAGAACTCATTCCCATTTAGTCAAGTGGTCTTATAATATTTATATATTATGTTTTATAAAATTATTCCTTTTCATGTGAATGTTTGTGAACAAATCAGCTCAAGTTTTTCAAGCTTTGATATTTTGTTTATTGAGAGTGTTCAATGTTTTACATTTTATCATTGATGTGTTTGTATTAATGCTTCCTTTAGTGATTGACCTAAAAATAATTCCTTCTCATTTAGTTAATTGGTCATTATTACCGTATTTAATTACTGTACCACTGTCATAATACTCTAACCTAAATTAATATTTTTGTTTATTGAGAGTGGTCAATGTTTTTCATTTTATAATTTGTGTGTTTGTGTTAGTAATGCTTCCTTTAGTCATTGACCTAAAACGAATTCCTTCTCACTAATTATTCGGTTAGTCATTATTACCATATTTAATTGCTGTACCACCGTCATAATTTAACGTAAATTGACACCCTGACATCAGAATGCATAAACTCCAGATGTTCACAGTACATTTCCTACGATGCTGAAAAAGAGAATTTGTTAAACAATCAAGAGCTTCTTTAGTTGTGGATCCTTTATTCTTAGGGCCTTAGTACTTGATTAAGGTGTGATATTGTTAGGAGAAATCAAATGCAAGTACTGTTATGTGTCAATGAAGGGTTAAGAGTATCCTTAATGAAGATGAATTGATTTTATTAAAAAGTGTTCTTTTATTCCGTTGACTTTCATCTTTTTCCTTTACATGTGGATGTTTGTGAACCAATCAGGTGGTAAATTTTTTTCTTTGATATTTTGCTTATTAGACGAGAGTGTTCAATGTTTTTCATATTATCATGTCTATGTTTTCATTAAAAATGCTTCCCTTAGTGATTGACTTAAAAGACTTCCTTCTCATTTAGTCATTTGGTCATTATTACCATATTTAATTACAGTGCCACTGTCTTAATTCTCTAATCTAAATTAGCACCCTAACATTGTATGCAAATTCTTCAAACTACTGAGGATGCATTTCCTAAGATTCTAACAAGTAGAATTTGTTAAACAGTCAAGAGCTTCTTTAGTTGTGGATCATTTCCTTCATTCTTATGACCTGAGTACTTGCATAAGATGTGATATTGTAAGGAGGAATCAAATACAATTCTCTTAGGGGTCAATGAAGGGTTAAGAGAATCCTTAATGAAGATGAATTGTTTTTATCAAAAAATGTTCTTTTTATTCCATTGACTTTCACGTTTTTCCTTTTCATGTGGATGTTTGTGAACAAATCAGGT